ACAAGAAAACAGCTAACCAACAGAGAGTAAAGAAGACTATGACTGCCTTGCTCTCAGCTTACATACTTAACTCTGTCAACAAACTTGGACAGGATTTCTCACAAGTACAGGGAATTATACTTTGTCTACTAGATAATTAATTATAAAGCAGGATCATAACTATACTGTACTAAGGGTAATTAGTTAAGTACTTTTAGATACATTTTTATAATACAGTATTTAAGTTATCAACTCTAGAATATTGTCAACATCTGGAAATTACTGCACCTACACTTTATACTGTACTGTACTTAAATTCATGTTTAAACACACAAAATTTATGTACAGTACCTGTATCTACAAGTACAGTACTGTAATGAAATACACTTAATATTCAGTGTACTGTATCCACAGATTCCACATTACCCTCAAAGGGCCATCAGGCCTCTGGGACCCATTTTTACTGCCATAATACATGTTCTGCTACATGACCTTAACACAATAGTGACCAGTAATGGTGTCATGGTCACAATAGCCCGGCTAGTACGTTCAACACTTAATTATTCATATTATACTTCACCGTCCACAAAACATGTCAAACTAATGAGCTACCCCTAGAGAGAGAGATTTGTTTTCCCTAGCAAAAGGTAACATCCATTTTCTCTTAAACATCCTGAAATCACACTTAAAAGGAAATTTAAATTTAAGAGATAATGTGTATGAGTAGCCATAAGTCAGATGTACCTACAGTGAGAGTAAGCATTCAAGGTGTATTGAGTATTGAAAGCATCATCTATTTCTTTGCGTAGAGTACAGTGTTAAGACGATGTGTTTTGAGTGTACACCCACCAGCTGGTATCAGTTATGTTTCTCGTGAACTTACAGGATAGAAATTCATCACTGAATTCACATCTTTTTGATCTGTGAACCTCAGAGAATCCAAAGAGAGTATCAAAATTATTGACAGTTTTGTATTTAAGATTCTCATTAATCTTGTTAGCCAAACTTGTCAATTGTAGAAAACTTTGAAATGTAACGTATATTCCTGGGAGGACAGAATGCAGTGGTCAGAAGCTCCGCCCACAATGTACTGCCATTCTAAGTAAACTTGACATCAGTTAAATTCTTGCCTTGCAAAGCTCCAACACTCATTAGATTTTAAAAGTTAATCTTAGAAAATTAATATATACAGTAAGCTCATAGCCTGATTTTCATAAGCCAATGTGTACAGTAAAGGAATCTGATAAATGTGTCTGCTAATGTCCCAAATTAGTAAATCATGGGTATAAAAGAGGCTGCGAGAGGCAGGAGCAACTCGCTCTGTCCTGACTCAAGCATGTACTCCTGTGTAACAGGTATGTCCAGTACTTCGTATCCCAACCCTTTCATATTAAGTGAATTTGAATTAGTGCTTTGTTTGAATATGCAAGTGATCCAGTAACGTAACTTTGATGTCTTTAGTAAAGTGTTCATGCGTCATCAGCTTATAGGAAGTATTTTATGACATTCGTGTCAACTCACTTGTCCTGATTCTCAAGCCCCTGCTCCTCTGTGTAACAGGTGACTTAATAGACCACGGGTGATCGTTGTATGCCAGGACGACATCCAGCATCAGTATGGAGATGGTTGAAGGCTGTTAAGATCTGATAGTGTCATGTAACACAGTGGTGGTGTGGTGAGCCGAGATCTTACGCACAGCCAGCCGTTCAGAGGAGGTGGCCGAATGTGTTTGTTGTTCACGTGTTGATATTTCACATGTAGAGTAAATACGACCAGCTCATAAGCATTGTTAGAGTCCACAACGATAAGTAGAGTTACTTATTGGGTGTGTTATTCATCCGATTATCCATGTATGTAACGTACTCAGTTGTATGGGTGTCTGGAGTGAACCAGTGTATGAGGGTCGCCACTTTACTTCTCGGCAAATATAACTAAGCAGTGCAAGGAGGCTATTAGTCCTGGTGCTATTGAAGTATTAATGTGGTGCTATTACTAAGAGTCCTGTTAATAAGAGATAAAATCTCAGGTAACTTGTAATGGTGGTGCTCAAGTGTGTTAATGTAAAATTATAATGTTGTGTCTCATCATAAAGTAAACCAAGTAATGGTGGATGTTGAAAGGTGTATCTAATTGAGAAGTACAAAAGAGTGAAACCAAGGAGACGATCCTTGTAGTTCTGTATTAATGAAAGTAATCATAAACCTAACTTAATTTTAATAAACCACCTTTATTGTATGTTGGGGGTATCATTATCCCTGCAGTATTTTTTACCTTTGTGTCTGCCCACATCTTGGTACCAGTAATTACAGTAAACCCCCGTGTCCTAACCCTCGAGCCATGCTACCACAGGTCAAGAGGTTAGGGGGTATCTATGACAAGAAAGGTAACTAAAAAATAATTAACATAAGGAATTAATCAAGTAAGAAATTGAAAGTAAGTAAGTTTGAAAAGGAAAATAAAGTAGAACCAATTAAAGAAATAAAAAAAAGAGAAGGTAGAAAGAAAGGAGAAAATTAAATAGAATTACAACACCCTCCCTACAAATGGATTAAAAGTAGTGGGGTATATAAATTAAAAGAAACTCCCTTATAATGGTATCATCACTACAAGTAACATCCCGCCCAACCTCTCAAATATCACATTACACCTAACTCCTTAAGCTAGTACAGTAAGTCCTACAACTTATTCTCATTATTGTTGCACATGTAATAATGATAAGAAGGGTTGGCAGAATAACTGTGCTCACCTCCCAGATAGAACTGTCATCACGGTTTGGGTCTTTATCACTGAACCAATCTTTAAACTCCAACAATATGTCAAGCAGCAGCTCAACCGACCTGTCAGTCCATTCCATGGGACCTGTAGAGTAGATCGAACTCTTAACTCAAAGATGAGGTAATCAAAGAGAAGAAATGAAAATGTGAGGAAGAGAAGTGTAATAAGGCAGAGAAAATTGGTAGTATGGTTAACAAGATTACCGTAACACAATTTGCAAAAATTATAAGTAGAATACAGTAGTCTCGATTTACGCAGATTTGGTTTACGCGTTTGGACATTTACACGGCACCTTGCCAGAATGGAAATTTTAAGTTACGCTGTTCATTCCATCATTTACGCGGGAAGCGGCGTGGGGAGGGTGCGCATTAGGTCGCTTACCTTATCGCTGATGTCATATGACGTATCGGACTGTGACTGGGCCACGCATCCTTACCTCCTTCCGCCGCTAGCTGTGATTGGTCTAATGTAACATGACGTGCCCTGCCACCAGAGGGAAGAAGTCGCTGACCTAGCCGGGCCAATCTCATTGCTCTCAGTCTCCACGTATACAGTTTTCTCCTGTGCCCGCTATTCTCCTCACAATGGCTTCCGCTGGACCCACACCACCCCCGAGAAACCTTGAACTACCTGGACCAAGCCATGGTTATGTGAAGGAAGCCATCGAGTTGGGGGAGAAAATCAAGCTCATCCTTGACAAAGACATAGTCAAGCATCGGTATGAAGTGTCTAATAACCTTCTGTCGAAAATTATGGAGCCGTATGTCCAGATTTATCACGACAACATCAATGCTAGTCGTCAACGTAGTATTACGGACTTCTTCACCCGCAACCCACCACAACCACCCCAAGTCAGTGATAGTAACAATGACGATATGGAATTTGAGGGGTTTGTCAGGGAGGCCCTGCAAACCTCTGTGAATAGTGATAGTGATTCACCGGAGGGCAACTAATCTGCCCTCTGCCTCGGAACCAGCCGCCATCCCCGTATGCTGACCCATCTCTTCTACAAACGTAAGTGTTAAACATCTTTATTTGTACAGTAGTGTAGTTTTTTTATTTAGATATTATGTGTGTGTCAATACCATCATAAAACTATGATGTTATTTTTACTACAAGGTACGTATTGTGTCGGAAAAAGTGGAGTTTGGGGGTGGGCCCAGTCTCTATTTCAATTAATCCCATATGTTCTGTTATTTCGTTTACGCGTTTCTCGTTTTACACGGACCTCCACGGGTTCAATTGACCGCGTAAATGGAGACTATACTGTACTGTCAATTATATGAAACTGTGACACACCATGCATCATTACTGTTATATCATAGTCTAGCTATTAAACCCAGAAACTGACTCATCAAGCAGTAAAATTATTCATTAGTGTTTGCCATTCAAATAGCGAATGAGGAGTATGAATGGGACGGGTAGCCTAGCAGTAGCAGAACCAGCACAAGGACCATGACCAAGGACCCTGACCAAGGACCATGACCAAGGACCCTGACCAAGGACCCTGACCAAGGACCATGACCAAGGACCATGACCAAGGACCCTGACCAAGGACCATCTGACCAGGACCCTGACCATGACCAAGGACTTCATGACCAAGACTGTGACCAAGGACCATGACAAGACCTGACCAAGACTAAGGACTGATGACCAGGACCTGACCTGACTGACTAAGGACTATGACCAAGGACCATGACCAAGGACCATGACCAAGGACCTGACCTGACCAAGGACCCTGACCAAGGACCATGACCTGACCATGACCATACCAGGACTATGACCCTGACCATGACCCCTGACCATGACCATGACCAAGGACTGACTGACTGACTGACTGACTGACCAGGACCATGACCAGGACCATGACCCTATGACTCCTGACTAAGGACCATGACACAGGACCATGACCATGACTGACCCATGATTCCTGACCAATGACCTGACTGCCAGGACCTGACCATGACCTGACCAAGATCCTGACCAAGGACCTGGCCAGGACTATGACCAAGGACCATGACTGACCAGGACCCTGACCATGAGGACCCTTGTGACCAAGGACCAGACCATGACCATGACCATGGACTATGACCATGACCAGGACCATGACCAAGGACCTGACCAGGGACCATGACCAAGGACCCTGACCAAGGACCTGACCAGGACCTGACCAAGGACTATGACCATGACCATGACCAAGGACCATGACTAAGGACCCTGACCAAGGAGGAAGGACCATGACCATGACCAAGGACCCTGACCAAGGACCCTGGACCAAGGGACCATGACCAACTAAGGACCTGACCAAGGACCCTGACATGGACCATGACCAAGGACCATGACCAAGGACCTGACCAAGGACCCTGGCCAGGACCATGACCAAGGACCATGACCAAGGAGGACCCCTGACCAAGGACCCCTGACCATGACTCAAGGACCATGACCAAGGACCATGACCAAGGGACCATGACCAAGGACCCTGACCAAGGACCATGACCAGGACCATGACCAAGGACCACCATGACCAAGGACCATGACCATGACCAAGGACCCTGACTAAGGACCTATGACTATGACTAGGACCAGACCAAGGACCTGACCAAGGACCCCCAGGACCCTGGCCAAGGACCCTGACCAGGACCTGACTGGACCTGGGACCCAAGGACCCTGACCCTGACAAGGACCCTGACCTGAGGACCTGACCACCAACTGACCAAGGACCATGACCAAGGACCTGACCAAGGACCATGACCATGACCAAGGATTGACTAAGGACCTGACCAAGGACCCTGGGGACCCTGGCCAAGGACTATGACTAAGGACCCTGACCTGACCAAGGACCCTGACCACCTGGCCAAGGACCCTGACCAAGGACCCTGACCAAGGACCCTGAAGGACCCTGACCATGGACTAAGGACCCTGACCAAGGACTCCTGACCATGACCTGACCAAGGACTCCTGCCATGACCCTGGCTACAAGGACCATGACCAAGGACCATGACCAAGGACCCTGACCAAGGACCCTGACCAAGGACCCTGGCCAAGGACCCTGGCCAAGGACCCTGGCCAAGGACCCTGACCAAGGACCCTGGCCAAGGACCCTGACCAGCGACCATGACCAAGGAGTTAAAGAGCATAGGTGAAGAAAACAATTGACAAAATGAAGAATGGAAAAGCAAGTGTGACTGAAGTAAGTTTAGGGAGTTGCTGCCTTTATTAATGGCAAAAGGACTTTCCCTTTATGTGGAAAGAAAGATATGCAACTGAAGTGTGATGTTGTATAGCAGTGAAACATAGGCAGTTGAAGAGGATGACATATGCAAGCTTGAGCGAGCTGAAATGGGAATGGTGAGGAAACTGCAATATGCCACTGTAGGATAGAAAACCCTGTTCAGAGCTAAGAAAGAGGCTGGGTATTGAGAGCATGGGTGAAGTTTTACATGGAGGTCGGCTGAGATGGTGGGGATGAGAGGAGAGAGAGAGGTAAGCCAAGAATAACATGCAAAGAGGTTGTAAGAAATAACATTAGTCAAGAACCTGATGAGAGAATAACAAGAGACTACACAGCATGGAGAACTGCCATCAGGCAATCACAGTTAACCTCCACAAGTGTGTAAAATGACCATAAAACATTGATGATGATTATTCCTGTATCACTAAACATTTACCATCAGAGGTGATATCTGAGAAGTCTTCATCGAGATCATCGTGGCCTTCTGTATCCTTTGTATCTAGCAGGAGCCGTCTGAAAGTGACAGGGAAAACATCAAAAATTTCCCTTTTATGCATTTAACATATATGATCCCATATAGCATATAACAATTTAACTATTCATGAATGACATCTTAGATGACCTATGGTACACATGTATGTATAACAATTATGGTTACTTATTGTATAACTTTGCTTGACTTCAACTCTTTCTTGACATCAACAATGGTTTTCATTATACAGGTTGTACCTCTCTAGTCCGGCAACCTCGGGACCTGACCGGTGCCGGACCATGGAAATTGCCGGACCATGGAAATTCACCCTTTTCCTGGATAGATAGTGACTTGTGCTTATGCTTGGAAGCACTAGCACCACTTTCTCTGCATCATGGTCTCTTTGAAGACATATTGAAGGGTTAAATATCGTATAGTAGCTTCTCAAATTTCGTGAGTTTTTAATTCTTAACGTATTTTATTGGAACACAAAAAAATAATAAATAAAAATTTTGACGGCGGAAACTTGAATTTCGACGGGTTTGAACAGCCCGCCAACGTGCAGACGACGTGCATAATCGTGTAAACAGCGTCATTTCTCTTATGTACAAAAGATTCATTATTGTTTATTACTGAATGTCTTTTTATTGAATTAATGTTTATGTGTGCAAAATGAGCAATACAATTCATTAATAATACGTAGAATATTAAAACACATGAGGAAATGACACAGCATTGTTTTCGTTCATTACAAAACCAGTGACTGACTGGTTCTACATATAAAACTGAAGAAAATAAGACCTTGGTTGTAGCTGTAGTAAAATTAATCTGGTTGTTTTAAGTAATGTTATTTAATGTTAATAAATGGAACAATAGAAGTAGCTGACGATAATGGTAAAGAAAAAAGAGAGATAGCTTATGTAAGTGGTCACACGTGAAAACATATCATCATTACTTTACATAAGAATATGAAAGCAACACTTATTTACTGTTCATATATATTTTAATTAATGTTTCTGAATTTGTTTTTATTGAATTAATGTTTGTGTGTGCAAAATTAACAATACACATTATTAATAATTCGTGGAATATTAGAGGAGACGAGACGAGACGGCTGCCGGCATTGTTTATATTAAAGCTTACGAAACCAGTGACTGATTGGTTCTACATATAAAACTGAAGAAAATAAGACCCTGAGTTTAGCTGTAGTAAAATTAATGTAAAAAATGAATATGGTTGCTTGAATTACCTGCAATGTTATTTAATGTTAATAAATGGAACAATATAAGCAGCTAACCATTAATGGTAAAAAAAAGTGAGACTGCTCGTATGTAAGTGCGCACATGTGAAAATATATCGTCATTACTCTACATAAGAATATGAAAGCAACACTTATTTACTGCTCATATATATATTGAAGTGTTAAATGTTGTACTCTGTATAGACAAGCAGAGAGAGAGAGAGAGAGAGAGAGCAGCCGAACTGCCGGATGTAAACAAACCTTAATTTCCCGCGGCTTTTTTTTTTTAAGGGGATTAGCCCACCCAGGCATAGGTCACTGACCCACATTGGGGCCTGAGGAGCAAAAATTTAATACTCCTGTAACAATAATAATAATTCAGATAAGTTAAAAAAAAAAACTGCCTATCTACCTATTGAACAAACTAAAATCATTCCGGACCACAGAATGCCGGACTAGAGAGGTACAACCTGTACACGACTCTAATGCAGCATCTTGCCTAAACCAACTTCCTACAGCGCCATATAATAACTTAAATGCCTCAAAGAAATTCCAATAATATTCATGATGGCTTTTATGTACAGGGTATCAGTCTTTTTTCTACTTCATAAAAACCTTTTGTGCCCCAAAAAATTTCCAGTCTTCAATCACAAACTCTTAAACTTAATCGTACATACTTAAGCAAGAGTACCTTTGGAAACATAGTACTGTACTGTACTATACAGTATTCATCTTAAGCAGAAGAGTTAAAGATTGTTCCACATATAAGATAATTTTAACCCTGGATGGAATTAAGATATTTATTTATCACTTCACCATTTAACAACTTATTAGTTATCTAGGTGATTGGTCTGTTCTTTGTTACCTTGTCTAGTGTTAGTATTTGGAGAAAACTTGCTATGTTCTCACATCTATCCCAGGCCAGGGACTGACTCCAGGACACAATAATGAGATACTGAACATGTATTATCACAGAAAGTAACTACCACAACACTCATCCCCAAGCTACCAAAAACATCATCTAGTTAGAGTGAAGTGCTCAAGTCTTTCTCCTTCTCACTGAAACTTGATGATCATATAGATTTGGCTACAGTAAAAGTTATATCATATTCATCTGCTGAGTATGTCATAAATCTGGGGCTGTAACATGGCTAGATGTACAGTGCAGCATATCTAAATTGCCAATACTGTATTCAATCTGGTACAAGACAATTTATAATTAAACCAACCAGCTTTATAATCATCCCAAACACAAAGTTCTGTAGAGTAAACAGTATAGCACAGTACATATAGTACAGTATACAAAGACAAATTAACTACCTGCTTTATACTATACTATATATCCTAGAAAAGTCACCTCTGATCTAAGAAGGCCTGGGTGTCTGGGTCATCTTTGAGGAAAGCGTGTATATGGCTAAAATAGTCAATCCGATACCCAGTCTTTTCCCCGTTCATTTGCTTCTCAAGGACTGCCATGTACCGAATCTGAAAGATATATTTCATTTAATAAATAGCCTCTGATGATCAATTAGTCTTTCAAAGTTTTATCATTACATTCTGAAAACAATGAAAACCAATAATGACAAAATTCAAAAGCAGATCACCTTCAGGTTCCTCCACTTGCGGTCACAGTCAAGACCCGTGACCGGAAATCCATCGTGAACCAATTTTTTCGCAATATCCTTCCAAATAAACTTTTTCTTGCGTAGACCATTGCACAGCTCATGCCAGTGCTCGCCAACCTCAGCCACCAAGTTGAGCACGTCCTCATGACCCCAGTGTATTCTGCCTTCTCGTTCTGCTAACACTGGGACTACTGATCGTCCTATGGAAACTGTAGAAACAAGACGTACACAAATAAGGTATACATGAGCCTCCAACAATATTGAACTTACCCAAATAGGAAGTAACAAATCTAACAGGATAATACCCTTCCCAAGTTTCTCCCAGGCCAGGACACAGTAGTGAGAGATGTGTGTGGTGTACCTTCAACTTGGCCCATCTTAAATAACCAACTGGGCCCACCTTGCACACTTCAAACAAGTAGCTGACTATAGATTCAGGAATGAGTTTGAGATATGTTTTATGTCTCTTTTGGTTCACTGAAATATGAAGTGTGTGAAAGAGTGAATACCGAGGGTTCATTCGGTATGAAAGACGAATTTTATATGTTTTTGTTAATAGAACTTGATCAATGAACCATGATTCACATTCGTAACTCGTTCTTCTCCACGTGATTTTGAATAGGGTTTGAAATTATTGCTTCCAGCAATTTGCCTACAATTGATATTAAATTGATTGGACGGTAGTTTGAGGATAGTGATCTATCTCCCTTCTTGAAAATCGGTATTACATTCGCTATCCTCCAGGATTCTGGTACTACACCCGTTTTTAATGACATGTTAAACAAAATTGCTAAGGGCATACTAAGCTCTTCCTTACATACCTTTAATACTCTGGCAACGATCTAAATCAGTACCTGGTGACTTATTAGGCTTTAGCTTGTCTATTTACTTACTAACATCATTACTAGTCACTACTATCTCACTTAATCTAATTTCTTCACTATCTCTGTATATAGTCCGTGCCTCGGGTATCATTTTTAAATTTTCGGTGGTAAAAATTGTTGAAAAATACCTGTTCAGATTATTGCTCATTTCTCCGTCATTATCAGTTAGCTCGCCGGTATTGGTCCAATCTTGTCTAGTGTTTAGTTTGATACATTTAAAGAATCCCTTGGGGTTTAACTTCGCCTCCCTTGCTACCTTCAGTTCATTATTCCTCTTTGCTTTTCTTATCTTGGTCTTAACCCTACTGGCCAATACCTTCTAATGATCTCAGAGGTAAACTTCACAATTTATTCTCCAACCTATAGCCTTCCTTTGGACACTAATATTATTTAAATAATCATTTATCCATTTGGGGTCATTGTTATTTGATCCGAGTTTTCTGTATGGTAAGTTCTGTCTTTGTGCGTTAATTAACTCATTATTTAAATTGTTGTGGAACTCGTCAACCCCAGATCTCATGATCAGGTCATCCTCAATCGTCATAATTTGTGAGGGTGTCGTTTTCAGGTCTTCAGGTAAATTGATCTTAAATGTGAACTAAATATAAAATATAAAATTATATATATGAAAGAAAAAAGATCACCTCTTCCAAATATGTACAGTAGCTAAAACAACTATCTGTGCAGGTGGGGGTCGATATGCTCCGAAATTTTACGTGCGACTAGTGACAGCCCTCCTACAGTATACCAAAATTTATCGTCCATGGTCTCATATTGTTTCCCACAAAGTATGCACAGATAGTTGTTTTAGCTACTGTACATTAATATATTCACAAGTTAGAATGAAAAGAGAAATAATAACAAATCAATTCCAAGTTTGTCTTTTGGGCGGTAATGAAGCCGCGCTTAGCTAAGGCGCTTTTACTGCGCCCGGGGCAGTTTGTTTTTCAGCATGTCGTGTGAAGGTTGTCAACCGGTCGTACATGTACGTAATTTGCAAATTTAGGGATAAAGACAACGAGGCCCTTCAATTGTTCAAAGACCATGGCATTATTCCTTTAAATAGAGACAGTCCACACTGCGGGAATTCCTGTGCTTTCAGACCGGAAAGAAATTTGTTCATCACTTCCTCAACGCCTTGGCTCGACGTTTCCCACCAACACAGCAAATCACTCAAGCGCCCGGGCTGCATAGCGCCATTGTGACCATATCATCTCGCGTCCATAAAATACATAAAATTACACCATATCATAGTAAGTTCTTTCTGTTTAATATACCGGGGGGGGGGGGCCAGAGTCCCCATTAAAGCAGTTAGGTAGGTTTGTTTCGTTAGGTCTGTTCTTCATACCCACAAATGTGAAGTAACATTTATTTTTTTAAATATGAATTTTTTGTAACATATTTGCACAAACTACAACAGTGTGCACTATAAAATAACAGTGAAAATCCGGCGTTTTTATAATCGTTTTCAATCAATTTCGGCCGCGGGTTAGCCCTATACAATTACAGAAAAAATAACTTACAATATTAAAAGATTTTGCAGAGGAACAGGAAAATATTAAATACAATCAGGCTATTCTCGTACAGTTTATAATACATGTATTTATTAAGTCGCACTATACACTTAATTTTAGTAATGGTCAGTAGTTCAGTACAGGTTGACAACCCTTTATCCGAAATTCCGAAAACCGAAAGTTTTTTGTGGGGCATTTTTTTTTTTTTTTTTAAACAGGGATTAGCCCACCCGGGCATAGATCACTGACCCATATCAGGGCCTAGGGGGCAAAAATGTAATGGTAATAATAATTATTCATAGTAAATAAAATTTTTAATAAAAATACACCAAAATAAAATAATGATGATAACAATAATAATAATAAATATAACAATAAAATTAATAATAATAACAATAATACTGTAATAATAAAATAATAATAATAATAATAATAATAATAACAATAAATAAATACAAGAATGAAAAAAAGATCAAAAGTGATCTATGCCAGGGTGGACTAATACACTTAAAAAAAAGAATCATTCTGAAAACCGAAAAATTCCGAAATCCGAAATGCCTCTGGTCCCAAGGATTTCAGATAAGGGATTGTCAACCTGTACTTGTGGCACCAATCACCTTAATATACTATAGTGTAAAATCACTTAAATATATCCATATACAGTGTGTTATCACCCAAAATACATCTCCCTTACACTTACAACTTTTTTTATTTGTGAATAAAAAATTTCTAATTAATGTTTACCATCATAATTGACTTCCTACATGAAGGAGTCACAGAACTGTACAGGTTTCAGCTATAATCTAAAATAAGCATTTTTGTGTTCAGACTGTGGAAATAATGATGTGTGGAAGAACGTCAATAAACACAGAAATACATCCTTAGGGCTTCTCAGTTCCTCAGTAAAATGCGGTGCCAGTACATTGTGAATTACACTAATGCATTTAGATCTCTTTAGTTTAAGGTCACAGCATGCTTTACTGTCACGAAAACAATATTTACAGATATCACTTTGTTCTGCCCAAAGCGGTCCGACTAATTACCCAAATGTACCCAAATGTAGCCACAATGAAGTCAAATGATGGTCGTACAAGCGTAAATCGGGCTGTGAATCACTTCTCGATTATTATTTGGTGTCATAAAGTCACAAAAAATTGGTAAACTTAATTTAATCTGAGTTGAGTTGAGTTGAGTTTAGTTAGGTTAGGTTAGGTTAGGTTAGGTTAGGTACATGCACTCGATCTATTAACTCAGATTAAATTACGTTTTCCAATTTTTTGTGACTTCGTGACACCAAATACTAGTCGAGGTTAGGCTAGGTTAGGTTAGGTACATGCACTCAATCTATTAACTCAGATTAAATTAAGTTTTCCAATTTTTTGTGACTTCGTGACACCAAATACTAGTCGAGAAGTGATTGGCAGTCCGATTTATTCTTGTAGGACCATCATTTGACTTCATTGCGGCTACATTTGGGTTCATTTGGGTAATTACTCGCTCCCTCGGTACATGCATGCGATCTATTAATTCAGATTAAATCAAGTTTTCCAATTTTTTGTGACTTTGAGACACCAATTACTAGTCGAGAAGTGATTGGCAGTCCGATTTATTCATGTAGGACCATTATTTGACTTCATTGCAGCTACATTTGAGTACATTTGGGTAATTAGTCGGACCCCTAGTTTACCTTTTGCTCATTTACATTCATTATAAAGTCTTTTGAAAGGGAGAAGAGCTTGGCGCTGTGAGATAAAGGGTGCTTTCGGTTGTTCCGTGTTTTTTCAGTATCACCGAGTCTGGCCGTTACTGTACACATGCAGTATTTACAGAAACTTTTTGTATTGTCTCCCTGTACATTTATAAGCAAATTTTAAAACCTGGAATCATTTAACCATTCTTTACGGAAACGTTGTTTATACTGAGGTTTCCCAATGAAACCAATTAGAACTGGGTCCGACTAATTACCCAAATGTAGCCGCAATGAAGTCAAATAATGGTCCTACATGAATAAATCGGGTTACCAATCACTTCTCGACTAGTAATTGGTGTCACACAGTCACAAAAAATTGGTAAACTAGATTTAATCTCAGTTAATAGATCACGTGCATGTACCGTACCTAACCTAACCTAACCTAATCTAATCTAATCTAATTTAATTTAATCTAATCTAATCTAACCTAGCCTAAGACAATACAACTCAGATTAAATTAAGTTTACCAATTCTTTGTGACTTTATGCCACCAAATAATAATCGAGAAGTGATTAGCAGTCCGATTTATTCATGTACAACCATTATTTGACTTCATTGCGGCTACATTTGGGTAATTAGTTGGACCGATTAGAGAACTTTCTCACTTTAGTTTCATATATCACTGCCTGCGTTATAAAGGCGCACCTGATGTACACTTAGCTGCACCTGATGTACACTTAGCTGCACCTGAGGAAACACTGTGGAGGGAGCGGCGGCCATGGTAGCTGGTGTAGCTGAAAGAGCTAAACCGAGCACGACCAGCCATCACACTAAATATCCTTATAAACTGAATACCAACACTTACTTTTTCGCAATCCCTTCTTGTTCATCGTTCTAGGTGGATTATCTTTATCGTCAAGACTATGAACATAACTATATAAAGCAGTGATAAAGTTTGTGTGTTAGTTCAGCACACCGCTAATGTTGTCGGGGTGTGACGCTTCTCCCCACTCTCTTGTTTCCCGCCTCTTATTATAGTTTTTTAAATAATAAATTTACCCTGGTCTTATAACTTTACATTTTTCAACATTAAATGGCATCTGTCACTTTTCAATCCATATTAAAAGTTTGTTTAGGTTCTTCCTGTAGTTTTCCAGTCCTCAGATGGTGCTACCCATAGTGTGCGGACTACAAAGATATCTTTAGTCTAACCTAACGTAACTTAACTTTACTTAGCCTAAGCTAATCTAACCTAAATATCTTGTAGACCGCACGCTACAGTAGCACCCCTCAGTGTACAGTGTACAGTGTACCCCACGAAAGGCTGAAAATCAAACTGGAAGGGTACGGAATTCGGGGAAATGTCCTAGCGTGGATAGAAGACTTTCTACATGACCGCAAGCAATGTGTGGTGATTAATGGCACGAAATCGTCATCTGTACCTGTAACAAGTGGGGTACCGCAGGGTAGTGTATTGGGCCCGCTGTTGTTTGTTTGTTTCATAAATGATATGCCTGACGTTGTACACTCCTCCATACAAATGTTTGCCGATGATGGCCAAGTTATTTCGGGAAATTAAGAACCAAGCGGACTGTGAAGAGCTGCAGAAGGACCTCTGTGGGCTCCAGGAATGGTCGAAGGAATGGCTGCTGAGATTCAATGTCACGAAGTGTAAGAGGATGCACCTGGGGCGTACCAACGGTAAGGAGGCGTACCATATGTCCCAACGGGATGAAGAAAATGTACTAGTTGAGACTGTGTGTGAGAAGGACCTAGGTGTGTATGTTGACAATGAGCTGAAGTTCTCGGGCCATTGTGAGAAGAAGGTAAATCAGGCAAATAAATTATTGGGTCTTATAAGAAGGTCGTTCAGATATCTAGACGGTCCGTCCCTCGTGACGATCTTCAGGAGTGAAGTGCTTCCCCATCTGGAGTACTGTCACCCCATCTGGTCCCCGAGATATGCTAGGGACTGTCAGTTGGTTGAAAATGTTCAAAGGAGGGCCACCAAGCTGGTGCCTGCACTTCGGCATCTCAGCTACCCTGCGAGATTGGAGCGCCTGAACTTGCCTAGCTTATACTACAGACGGGCAAGGGGGGACCTAGTTGAGGTTTATAAGCATCTCAGGGGGCACTACTCAGTTGAGTGTCCTTACTTGGAGCTGGCGATCGCCCCGGGTCATAGTGAAGCCGCAAGTCCGGAAATTTTTGAGGAGGTTGTAAACTTGAACAACCAGAAAGTGTTGTGACGGCACCGAGTGTGAGCTCTTTCAAAGAAGACTTGACCAACACTGAGCGGGTTCAGGTACATTCAGGAGCGGTGCATGCCCAGTATTGCCAACAGTGCGTGACAGAGACGTGACCGATCGCCCGGGCGGCTAGCGAGCACCTTGGTGAAGAAAGACATCGCCGAAACGATCAGGGCGAAGAAAAGTTTATCTTTTCCTTTATCCTCTTCACCACTGATCGGCTCGCTAGCCGCTTGGGCGATCGGTCACGTCTCTTTTACGCACTGTTGACAAATACTGGGCATGCGCTGGTTCCTGATTGTATCTGAACCTGCTCCAGTGCTTGTCAAGTCTGGTCTTGAAAGAGCTCACACTCGATGCCGTCATAACACTTTCTGGTAGATTGTTTCAAGAGTTTACAACCCTCACCCCGAAAAAGTTTGCCCTTACAGTTTTCTGGACTTGCGGCTTCTTCAATTTTGAGCTGTGACCCCTTGTGGGGCGAGCGTCCGCCAGCTCCAAGTAAGGACACTCGACTGAGTAGTGCCCCCTGAGATGCTTATACACCTTAACTAGGTCACCCCTTGCCCGTCTGTAATATACGCTAGGCAAGTTCAAGCGCTCCAATCTCTCAGGGCAGCTAAGGTGCCGTAGTGCAGGCACCAGTCTGGTGGCCCTCCTTTGAACATTTTCAACCAACTGACAGTCCCTAGCATATCTAAGGGACCAGACGGGGTCACAGTACTCCAGGTGGGGAAGCACTTCACTCTTGAAGATCGTTACGAGGGACGGACCGTCTAGATATCTGAACGACCTTCTTATAAGACCCAATAATTTATTTTCCTGGTTTACCTTCTTCTCGCAATGGCCCGAGAACTTCAGCTCATTGTCAACATACACACCTAGGTCCTTCTCGCATGCAGTCTCAACTAGTGCAGTTTCTTCATCCTGTTGGGACATATGGTACGCCTCCTTACCGTTGGTACGTCCCAGGTGCATCCTCTTACACTTCGTGACATTGAATCTCAGCAGCCATTTCTTCGACCATTCCTGGAGCCCACAGAGGTCCTTCTGCAGCTCTTCACAGTCCGCTTGGTTCTTAATTTTCCGAAATAACTTAGCGTCATCGGCAAACATTTGTATGGAGGAGTGTACAACGTCAGGCATGCTATTTATGAAACAAACAAACAACAGCGGGCCCAATACACTGACCTGTGGTACCCCACTTATGACAGGTACGGATGACGATTTCGTGCCATTAATCACCACACACTGCTTGTGGTCATGTAGAAAGTCATCTATCCATGCTAGGACATTTCCCTGAATTCCGTACCCTTCCAGTTTGATTTTCAGCCTTTCATGGGGTACACTGTCGAAAGCCTTGGTAAAATCTAGGTAAATATTGTCGATATTACCACCCCGTTCCAGAACATGGGTCCAAATATCCAATACCTTGAGCAATTGTGTTAAGCATGAAACCGTGTTCGCAATCCTTTACAAGATTGTTTCGTATTAGATGTTCCATTGCGGCATCTCTGATAATATTCTTAAGTACTTTACATATTATGCTGGTCAGGCTCACCGGTCTATGGTTGATTGTGGAGTGACGATCGCCCTTCTTGAAGATAGGACTCACATAAGCCACTTTCCATTCACTGGGGACCTTTCGTTCATCCAGGCATTTACAAAACAGGATCTTTAGGGGCTCGGCAAGCTCGTTGCTCAACTCTTTTAGCACTCTAGGATGCACCATATCAGGGCCGGGACTCTTATAGACCTTTAGCTTTGACAGTTTATTTCTAATACCCTCTTCTGTGAACACAATGTGGTGTAACGACCACGGTCTTACACGTCAGTTAGCGCTAAAATCAAATGATTCATATTACGCTCAATAGCCCACAAAACATGTAACTCTGCTTTCGTTTGAATCCTCCATCTGAGGAGTCCGTTTTCTCATCACTTCAAGACACCTCAGTCCTCCGTTATCCCATTTTCTCTGACTTACTGAAACCAACCTCTCTATAAAATGAATTTGAGTGTGAGAGAGAACACCCCTGTTTTGAGTCAACTTAGATAAGTCTGTTTACAGTGGGAACATTCAAGATCCATTGTGAGTGGAATTGAACGCTTCAACTGTCCTTAGTGTTAATAAAACGTGTCAAGGAAGTGAGTGTCGAGTTTGCCAACTAGAGTGGCGTATTTTATGTCGTCCGTGGGAATATCCATGAGTTTCTAATCCACCCTTCTGGTATGAATACGGAGGCCCAAGCTGCCCCGCGGGTGCACGTATATACCTCTACACGAGGGAGAATCATGCATTCGTGACTCTTCCTCAACGTCTCTCCAGTGTGTTGAGCTGAATACTCATCGGCTAACGTGGGGCGGTAACCGAGTTGGTCGATGCCGTTAATTCGACAGGATTAAACTGGGAAGTCTGTTTCCCGCAAATCAGGCGCCCACTCCCTGGGTGTGTGTCGGTCTACAACCGACCCCTAACAGCGATCTTCATTTGTTGTTGACCAGCGTTACCCTGGGGCACTCCTCACAATTACATGGGCCTAAGTATTATTGTATCTTGTTTAGGGGATAACTAGCAGAAATATAGTATCCCAGGTTAAGTATTGAACTGCTGAATGAGAGTTAAAAATGCCATGTTGTTCCTTGCGAATTAACAGGAGGTATTGTATGTAACTATAATTGTGGAGTTGTCCAGTGTGTTATGTATTCATCGGTAGTGACCATGAAATGATAATCTGAGAGTATAATGATATAACCAAGACGTGAAGAGTTAATTTGCTACTTGGTAAAGAAAGACCTGAGGGTCCAGTGATATCTGGTGTATACCCAGTACTGAATATAATTTGGCAGAGCAATAATACCACAATTGTCGATTGAAGTAATAAGTATTTGGAGGTATTTAATGAGGTAATAAGTTCTTGAAGTGTTTGATGACTTGATAAATAAATTGCAGTTCTGTTTTGTCTGAGTGAATCTAAGATGCATCTTATCCAATCACTGTGTTAATAAATATTGAATTAGTAATCTACGAGTATCACCACTCTATCCTTTCCCACATTGGTTCTCAGAAAATAACTAACTCACGTGCCTAGAAGCTCGCTACCTATCAGTTAACTAAGATATGTTATATTCTAGAAAAATCCTGGGTGGTGGCAGGTCTACCGGTGTAAGTATAATAAGTGTGGTAATAAGAAAGACATGGTTTCCCAGGTTAATCCATGGTTTAGAATATAACTAGAACAAAATATATGGAAGAGATTATAATATATGAAAGGAAATGAAAAGAAAGAACATTGACTTGGAAAATATAAGCAAAGAAGCATAAGAGTTACTTATATAAGAATATATAAGAATATAAGGTATATAGAGATAAAGAACATATAAGAATATAAGCAAGAATATATAAGAATAAGTATATATATAAAGAATTGAAGAAGGATAACTATATAAAACAGGATACTCATTGGAAAGACTGCTATAACGAACATATAAGTATATGAATAAACAAGAAGACTAACAGAAAAGAATATCTGGATGGTAAATTATAAAAAGAGAGAACTCGGCCCGTTACAGTGGGTCAGTGCTGTGTCGAACCGTCTGTCCTCAAACGCAGGAAGGTTAATCGCACCCTCTCTTGTGAACACCGAGCAAAAGAAGCTGTTCAATGCCTTAGCTTTATCCTGGGCAGAATCTGCGTAACTACCATCTTCAAGCCTCAGGTCTGATACCCCTACTCGCGTTTTTAATTTTGA